CTTTTGGTCAGCCCTGAACTGGTATTGGTCAGGCAGTTCGACTAGAAAATTGCTGTAGGTCCCTTCCAGCTGAAACAGTCTCATCTGTTCCATTCCATTCATCAGGGATCAGGGCAGTGACTGAGCAGCTCAGACCAGCAACAATTGTGTTGGCAGAATGGCTGCACTGTGAACCACGAAGCCTACGTAACGGCCTGACGCCAACCAGCCACTCGAAACACACATGTGGGCCTGACTGGAAAGCCAGAAACTGCAGTTCTAAAGGTGGTGGTGGAGAGAGCAAAAAATTTTGGCTACAGTGCTGCTGTGTTCACTGGAAAGCAAAAGAGCATCAAGACCTCACACACCAGGTAGGCTTTATTTGGACATATCGGTAGTTGTTTTTCCATCACACAGTTTTCATCATGTTCCTGGATATTACTCACGCTCTCTCTACATGAATATATGTATACACATGCACACATAAAGCGGACTCTCAAATGTGCTGTTCTTTGCTGAAAAATTATAGTAACGTTCCTTTTTTCACAATCAAGACAACAAAATGGCTAAATGCCAAAACCTGCTTATGTAGTAACGTGTTACAAGATGCTCTTTGAAGCCTCCCATGTACAAAGAACTGGCAGAGCGGGTCTTGTGCATCTTGTCTCGTGTCTGCAGGGTACGTTGCGGGAGGGTTGGTGCTGGCTCGAGTGCAAGTCCATCTTGTGGCGACAGGACACAGCCCCCAGGTGTTCCTGGTAACCTGACAATTGGAACTCTGCCACTCCCTGGGAGCAACTAGCAGCCAAAGCCTCCCTGCTGATCAAGTCTCAGGGGAGTGCGTATTCCTCCGGCTCCAAGCTGAGACACTGTAAATGCAGTTGTAGTTTTGGTGAAATGCATCTGTAACCACGGCTGTGCTGTAACATGATGTCACGGTTTGAGACTTAACTGAAAAGTTAAAGCACTCAAACAGAATTAGTTCTGATCTAGCCCAAACCAGGACACATGAGGACTGACTTAGCAGCTAAAACTCACTTCCCAAAAGCACGATGTATCCTCAGGAAACAAGTCAATCCTGATCTGGATCTCCTGGCTGCAGCTGGGGAGCCCTTTACCTTGCATTCCCAGTGCATTTTAAAGCCGCATTTTGTTTCAGGGTGCCTTCCTATGCTTTCCACTTACAGCTCGCTCTATTTCCTTGACTGTAATTCTTCTTGAATTGAATGGCTGGTTGGCTTCACGCCGCTGACTAGAGGCTCTCAGCGAAACTGCACGAAGCTGTTGCAAATAACCTGATGTACACTGAAAGAATACATGGTGGAACACGACAGAAACTCCTCATTGCTTTGAGTGGTCAGTATAGAAATGTCTCCACTGTCTCTGAAGTCTTAATAGCAAATTAAAATAATGAGGTAGTTTTCTTACACGTTTTGTGGTGAAAATATTCCTGCTCGTCTCCGAGCTCTCCTGGGGCTATGACTGATTTGTCTGTCACAGTGTTGCCTTTCCCCACAGCTGCTCTAGGACACGCTTTCCACGCGTGGCCAGAGCAGGGTCTGTGGCTGTCAGCACGCTGGCTCCCCTTCAGGTGCTCTGCCGCTGGTGCCCTGCCTGCGGGAACTGACCTGTCTCACGAGTGATGCTGCCTTGTTGGGGACGCGGCTGCTTTCGGTATTTGGACGGTTCCTGAGACACCTCGTGCCTGGCTGAGCGGCTGTCAGAGACACGTGCACCCAGCTCTGCCTGGTGGTGTTCCTGTGCCGATGCCAAAGGGGAGCCCCTGGCACGACAGATGCTGTCCTGCCCAGGGATCTCACACGGGCTGCACGCGCAGCGGCCGACAGCGCCGATCGAAGCGGCAGCAGTGTGACGTCTGGGGCAGGCAGCATGCCTGCTGCAGAGCTCCCACCCACAGGATGGAGTTTTTTAAGGCTTTCTTGATCAACAGATACTTCCTATTTGAGCCGGTGGCTGCTCATGGAGGTGGCAGTCAGATCATGAACCCCCAGTGTGAAATGTTCCTTTCGGTGCGGGTATGTCCTTGTTCTGTTGCTGATTCTCACGGAAGATGTAAATGCTTCCTCCGGGGGTTCTGGAGCAGGGCTCTTGCTCCTTCCTTTGAAGCTGAGCATGGATGTGTCTGTGCTTGAGTCTCTTCCAGCTGCTGCTTTAATGAACGTTTCATCCCAGCACTCACTGGAGCAGACTGGAACTCAGGTTCTCCCCCTCCCTTTGCTATTCAGCAGCTACAGTGCTGTGGTCTTCGCAGCTGGGTGAATATTCCAACTTGTAAGTTCCAGGAAAAAAAAACCCTCATCAGGAGGAACTGAGCCACCTCCCCTGATTACAGCAGTCACCTCTCTCAAAAAAGACAGGCATCTAAGACAGAGGTTCCTTGTCAAAGGTCACAGCTTTAGCCACAGTGCTGCTCGAGATGGTGGATGGGAAAAAGCTCTGAAAAGTAGCCTCAGAATACACTGCTGAGACGGGGCCCTGCTGTGCCATAGCTTAGGGGATGCTTTATACCTGTGTACAAATATGTTATGCTGATTAGGAGGGCTCAAACAATGCAAGTCCGAGGAGAAACTTTCTGGTAGAGGACAGCCCTGTCCCATTAGCGGAACTGGGCCTGTGAAGATTTGTGGGTTGGATTTAGAAATCTACCAGCGTGGTTAGGGTAAGAATTGGATGATATAATTTCTGCAACTCTAGCACTAAGCTTGCACCACTGATTCTTAAAAATGTCTCACTCAGAGGCGGGGGGGAAAAAAAAGGTTGTATTTGCCAGCTAGGTCTCCCTGAGCACTCAGCTCATTTTGTTTGTTTCCATGAGTCATTTTTAGAACAGGCAACAATCATCTAACAATACTTGAGTCACACATAGTCTGGAGCCAACTTCTTAGAGAACACAGCCTTCTTGAGGAGAGTGAAAAATATCCTAAAAGGAAAAGTGCGTAACAAGAAATTATGTTTAAAAAAAAAAGTGGTTGATTTAATTGGCTTTTGAAAACACAGAAAACGACCTTTCCTGCCTGTCCCTTCAGTTTTGAGTTTCAGAACAGCCCGGGACAGAAAGGGACTGTTGATTTAAGGCAAAAGCCCCCCTTGAACAAGCATGTGGTTGCTAAGTGCATGCTAATGCCTCGCGCTGCAGCACAGGTCAAGACAAATGCCCAGGGAAGTGCGAGGGGGTGGCTCCCTGGATCAAGCTGTGAAGTGCAAGTTCACTGGACCTCTCCGGCTACTAACAGCTGCTCTTGCAGAAAGGGCCCTCCTGCTGCAACACACGTCCACCCCTGGCTTCTCCTTATCTGGGACACCGTCATTTCTGACAATCTTCAGGTGCCCAGAGATCTTCCTAAACCCCCACTCGCCCCTTCCTTCCTTGTGCTCACGCCTCCCGCAGCCCAATCCTGGCTGCACAGGGACTGACGCAGAGTTCCGCTGCGGAGAGAAAGCTTTTTCCGCCTGCTTTTCTCAAAGGGGGCTCAGCTTCCAGGACGGGATCGTTTGTTGTGGGAAGGCCCCATCTCATCGCCTGGAAACAGGGTTATGAGGGAGTATCAATTCCAAAACTAAGCAACAAAAGGCCTGAGACTTCATCTGACCGCCTCGGAGGGGAAGGGCTTCAAGCTGAACCGTGCTGCGTGGCTTCCAGCACGGGGAGTTCTTCCTTCACCTAAAGGAATTGTTTGTTCCGAGGCTATAAACAGCTGTTCTGGGTCTGTAAGAAGGAAAATATGCTACACAAACCACTATGATAACTACAACTCTATGCGGCAGGAATAGACTATTAAACAGATCAGTTTATATATGAATCTATAGGTGACAGCTGAATAGTCCTTCTCTCAGCAAAGCACAGCTGGATTTTTTTCAGCCACGAAAGAGATCAAAGTGCTAACTGAAAAGAGCCAAACCGTCATTTTTGTTACCTCCACTGAGAAGCGGCTAGTATGAGGAACAAAATGCTGCTGCCCCCAATCTGTTTAAGCTAAGAAAGTGGCTTCACGTGTATAACAGATGCTGAACATGACACCAGACCTCAGCCAGGGGCACTGGTGCAGGAGGCTGTACAGCAAAGACTTAGTGCCGATGGCTGGTTTGTGCACTTGGCAGTGTGGGCTAGTTAGGATTATTTTCCTATATCAACAGCTTTCCCTCTGACTTGTTTTCTACAATGCAACGAAGGCAGAACTTCATTTTTAATGCAAATACTGTAGGAGTGCCAGAAATAAGTTTTACAGAATTTTTTAAACTTTTAAAAATTACCATTTTCCTAGCTAAACACAGACAATTTACATTTTTCTGACCTATTTTATTTATTTCAAGCACCAAGCTTTAATCTCAAGAGCATCACGCTTAACGGATCATCTTTTTTACTGTATCAACTGAAAATAACAGTTCTAAATCTTTCAGGAGGAGCAACTGCACCTTACGCTCACGTCTGCCCCGTGGAAAGCTGAGGGCAGGCAAGTTTCTCCCTGCACAGCTGCTTCCATTTGACTGAGTCACTCACCTCATCTCTTAGCACTGCTTGGCCCTTCAGGGGAAAAAAGAAAACTTATGCAGAGCAGTCTAATTTTGCTTCGCACCACCATGGTTAGCAATTGCTTTGAACAAATTGTTTATGCAAATGTACTTGACCCAACATATTATTAAATAACACAAGGACTAAGAAGTCATCACCCATGTCCAATACCTCACTTTCTCGCCCCTGCTTTAGTGACATCATGAAAAGAGCTGACCACAACTGTAAACTTCAGTGAAGATGTAAACTTTGATACACCAGGGAGAAGACTGCAAAGGCAACGGAATAGGGAACAGCAAGAGCACAGTGGAAAATACCTATTGAGAACGTATTTGTTGTTTAACAATCGTTCTGCTCGTACAGGTGAACGAGGGCTTGGGAAGGAGTGAATTTAGCTACAGAAACGAGTCTTTTGTAACTACCTCTGGAAAGAGGGGACAAGCAAAATGTCTCAGTATAGACTATAAACCCACCACTGAAATCAAATATATAAACTGAATATATTAAAGCTTTGAATTTTATTACACTTAATTTCTTCTGAATATCTTACCCCTCTCTCCTGTTCAAGGTAAACCTAAACATGAGAAACAGAAGGATAAAGGAGAACTCCACTAAACGTGGAGTACATTTCGTCAGAGTCTGTGTAGGCCAGTTTGCCTCCTGTTACAACGACGTTTACTTCATCTCCTGCTTTGAGGTGAAGAACAAGGTGGAACGTCCCAGGACCACCACAGGTCTGTTTCCCTGAGTAGGGTTTGTGATATTCCAGCAGTTCCCTGCGGTACCCAGCTGTGTGGAGCTGAGCCACGCTTGCGTTGGAGACGGACAGCACTGCTTCGACGTACTCGTCCCGCTCCGGGGCCAGCACAGCGGTGATCAGGTAGCGCCCTTCGTACGGCGATGTGAAAATGCCTGCGGAAGAGAGACAGGCGGAGCTTTTCAGAGGCACCCAAAAGGGAGAGACCCGGTCGCTCGAAGCACGACGACAAAGCGACGTGGGTTACCCAGTGCTAGGTACGGATAACTGTGACAAGGTCAGCCTGGGCAGCTGCCAGGGTTGCTGCCGCCTTTGTGCTGGAGCCCACCCGTCCCTGAGGACATAAGCAGGTCTTGTCCACGTTCAGAAACCTGCCACGACTCACAGCGAGGTGAAGAGGTGAGGGGCACCCACGTGCTGTGCAAGTCCCCAGGAGGTCAAGGCACACCGAACACCCCCAAGCGACATGACACTCTGCTTGAGAAGGAGGCAGCCCCCACTTTCTGCTACTGGGGAGGCAGCAGGTATCACCCCACCCCTGCTCCCCGGGCCGGAGGTGGGGTGAGGAGCTCTGCCTCTGCTCTGCCGGCACAGCTTTGCCGTGACTTGGGCCTCAGGATTACCGGGCGGCTGTGGAAAGCCGGCAGTGGCAGAGCGTGTGCCTGTCCACGCCCACAGGGAGCTTTCCCCCCGCTGTGTCTGGTTTAGAGGGACTCCTTTGGCTTGTTCAACGCGCCAGCAAGGCCTGGATAGCGTCAAACCCTGGCAACCCGTGCTACTGCCCCTCTGGCAGCTCTCTGGGTCCATTCTCTGGCTGTTACCTGTGTTGGGGTTATAGTAGTCGCCGTCATTCACGAGCACTTTGTTGAAGTGAACCACGCCGACGTCACTGGAGAAAGGCTTCTGCGTGAGCCCGGCAGAAAACGACACCAGAGAGGCCGCAGCAGCAGCAGGTCCTGCAATGGGCAACCACATGAGTCGGAGTCACACCAGGATGACAACACAGCCTCTCCCTGGGACGGTTGTAATCCAGTGTCTCTGTTCCTGCGCATAACCCACTTGGACTAACCCTGTCACTGGAGGGATGCCAGAATTAGCAGAATACGTATTGCTGGCCCAGGTCCCAGGTGTCTCACCATAAACTCTACTGAGCACCACAAAATTCCCCCTTTGGCCAACAGCCTCCCTTTTTTTTTTTTGTCCTTCTAAGGAAAAGGTCCATGGCTTGGGAATGCTGGCACTAGACATCCTGCCACCTCTCAGCTCAACAATGCCATGGACCTTCTTCAGGACTGAGGCTGCCCTTGGCCACCTCCGCTCTCCATCACTAGCAACGGGAGTGCTGACGGTGCCCAGCTCGTGCCAGCCTTCCTAGTCACGCCGAGAAGCTGCGCACGGCTTAGATCTCTTCTGTTCTCTGCCGAAGGGTAGGGAAAATAGCTACCAGAAGTAATGCTTCGGTGTTAAAGCAAACATCACTGGGGCTTTTCTCTCTCTCTGGCACTTCTCTTTTGGGGGACTTTTCACTCCACAATTTTTTCTTTTTCTCTCAGCAGATCAGACATGCACTTAGGTATTTTGTAGTGGCTACCTGCTTGCTAGCTGAACACTGCTGTTGGATGAAATACAATTTGTATAACTAAGACAAATTTTTACTTTTAACAGACTGACTTAATAGCAAATGGTTAGTGGTCAACCACTTACCAGTCCTATTTTAGTTCCCCTTCCCTCTAAACATTTCCCCTAAGGCAGGACACACTGCTAGCAGCAGTCAACGCGTGTTGCTCTGTTTCGGCAAACACACTTCAAGTTGTCCTCAGCTGCTCTTTCTGTTCTACCGTGTTCAGGTTAGGCTCCATGTCTTCTCCGTGCTGTTTTACCCCTGCTCCTTCTGCCTTCCTTAAAATAAATGTTGGGTTTTTCTCCTTCTCTCAATCTGAGATGCCCATCAGCAACCAATCTTTAATTCAGATTGTATCACTTAAAAACTGAAGTTAAAAAGTGACAAAAGTTCATCTCAAATGCGGATATACAAATGCTCTGCTCTCCATTTTTTCCCTGAATAATTTGGCATGGGGAGGTGGGAAGGGAAGGCAAAGCAAGGGGAAGACATGCCTGCAACTTCAGAAATGGCAAATAACTACCTCGCCTTCCCTCGGGGTTAGTAACCAGCTGCCTCACGTAAGGAAATCTCCTTATTCAGTATTCTGTCTCACGTCCAGAAAACAGACAGAAGCCCTTTTTCATTACTCCTACCTGCCAGTGCGCCTGCAGGTGCTCCTGTAAGCTACGATGAGGTTATCTGAAAGGACCCAAATTAACTGCAGGAAGCCTGCGTACTTAAGCAGCTTCTGTAAAGCTCCACCACCTTAACACCACGCTGCTTACAGAAAGCATCTCTCCGTATTCTCAGCTTACCCTGAGACTGAAAATGCACCTCAACAGACTTCCCGCTGGCTCACTTGGAAAGGTTTCTCTCCCCTGCAGTCACGCTGCACAGCCAGCACGAACCATGTGCTGCCTGCCCGGAGCCGCTGTCCTCGCCGTCTGGAGTCTCTACAGTTCTGCTGGGGTCGGTGTCATCCGGCTAAGGGAGCGACTCCTGCCCTGCCTCCCTTCCTGCACTAATTGCTAGAACAGTCATTAAGAGTTTGCCGCTGAAATGGCCTCAGCTCCGCAGCCTAGTTTAGCACGCCATCTGTGTTGGCCCAAAGGAGCCATGTTAAACCCATGTGAACATCCTGCAGAGCAGTTCAGTGGGCACTGTCAGGAGGCGCAGCGAAGGCGCGATGTGTCTGTGCTCTCTCACCCTCCCTCCCTGCTTCCAGCTGGAACTGCGCCTCTTAGAAGCTTTCACAAGGCGACAGCTCTCGGCAGCGCTTTTGCAGACCCTCACACAGCGTAACCTGCTCTTACATGGGTCGTCCCCCCTTTCTTCATTCAAAGATCACCGTTCAGCTTCTCTAGGCAAGGTCCAGGCTTGGAATCTGCTTTCGCTTAAGCCGTTAAGTGTTGTGGAATTATAAAAATCAGGAAGAAAAGTTTTAAAGCATTTAAAAGCTGGGAACCACGTGCACAGCTCTTGGTGAAGAAACTGCTAGGCAGACAAAAAGTGTAAAAAAAAGATTCAACCACAGTTTTACAGCTTCTGGGGGAGGAAAAAAATGACTTTAGACATATTCAAGAAGGTTTCATTTATACATATGTATACACACAGAAGCAGGAGCAGGTATGTGTGTTCATGGCAATCTAAGCTAGTGTAACGCGTTCTGGGGAGTCTAAGGACCACAGAAGATACATGGGTGGCCTTTGTCAGGTTACATCTACTTCCACCCATCTGCTAGTTGTATTTCTGGTTCTCCACCTCTCTTTTGACTTCCCAGCACAGTTCATGCCTCCCACAGAGCCCAAGGGCCAGAAGAAAAAAAAAAAATCAAGCAAAAGAAAACAGTGCACAGCACAGGCATTTTCTATTAAGATGAAAGTAGAAAACAGTAACAGAGTGTGATGGTGCTGCTGACAATTGCTCAGCAACTGAAATGAGGACCCTTCAAGAATCTACACAGAAGAGAGACTGTACGTGTGATTCATTTGTCAGTATGCACTTGTGACTCCTTTGCATATGGCAGGAGCTGGGAGCCTATGTCAGATTTCCTCTGCTTGGCCAATACTCCTAAATCTAAATGAAGGCAAAGTACATAATTTCAGTTTGAGCAAAGAAGACAAAACCATCACCAATTTATCACCCCCCACCCTTTTTTTTTTTTTTTTTTTAACTAACTCTTCAGTTTGACCCTAACAAGTCATTTTCAGGAACGTTCCCTCTGCTTACGGATGGCCACGCAGCACAGCACAGTGCCACGCTGATTTCCAAGAGCAAGGGCTGAACGAAGCTGGGGCCATTAGCTCTGCTCTGCAAAGTCACAGCGTTCCTGCCGCGGATGGTAACTCACTCAGCGTGTTATGAAGACACAGCTACTTTTCTCCTGAGCCTGTTAGTCACAGCTCTTTCTGCTCTTACCACTCCGACCTTTCACAGCGCAGCAAGAGGCGGCTTGCCCTACCACTTGCCTGCTGCTCCTTACACAAATCCCCATCTCCTACCCCAGCCTTCAAGCACGCTTCTGGGAACCGCGCTGTTCTTTCATGCAAACACCAGCAAAACACAGACACTGGGGCAGCTGCGGGTGATCACACATTCTTCACCTCAAAGTCAGCAAACACGCTTTCCCCCTGTGCTTGACCACTGATGTGCACTAACGAGAACACTGCTCCCTGTCCAGTGATCAAAAGGAAGAGCTAAACATGCAGCAGCACCCGTCACAAGCAGGGCAGGGTAATCTATGCATTCAGTAAGCTCTTTCTTCAAATCAAGGACCACCTACAACAACATAAATCTTACAGTACAGTAACATCATGCCTTTTAATTTGAAACGTGTCCTACAGGCTTGCTGCCTCAAGTCACATGGAGACAGGAAAGATGGCTGAGTATCAAACAAGTAAAAAGAATGAAAAAACCCAAACCAAACTTAGCCCTTTATCTGCATGGATACATAGAGCAGCAGGAGGGCTCACGAGCTCAGCTCTTTTCGTTATTACGCCGTGCAAGGAGTTTCTTTTAGAGGAGCAACCACCCTCCATTGAAGCTGCAGGGTTAGGGACACAAGAACACTGCAGATTGCATGAAGACGGAGGGTAGGGAAGGCAATTTGTGCTTTTAGTGATTTTTTTTTTTTCACTGTGACCCTCTGGTATGCTGATCAGAACTTCCAAATCCTCTTCTTCGCTCTGTCCTTGCCTAGCTGTGACACCTGGATCTTACAAGCATTTTCTCATCGGTTCCCAGACCAGTTCATCAGCCAGTTCATTACTTCTGCCTCCGCAATTTTCTTTGCTCCAGCAAACAAGAATTCTCCTA